CTGTCACCCGATCTGTCACCCGATCTGTCACCCGATCCAATCACCTGATCTGTCACTCAATCCTCCTCCCTTTCCTCCCCTTGCTCGGACGGACAAGCAATCCCTGGATCCTCCACCCGATCCGACACTTAATCATCCGATCCGCCACTCAATTACCCGATTTGTCACCTAATAGCACAACCCAATCCGTCACCCAATCATCGGATTCGTCACCCATGCACGGGATCCGCCCCGATCATCCGATTCGTCACCCAATCTGCCGCCCAAGCACCTGGCCTGCCACCCAGTGGATGATTCATCGCTCATTAGCACAATCGGATCCGTCGCCCAATCATCCTATAACCTGCAAGAGGCGATTGTCATCCAATAGTTCATTACTGGGATGACCTTCAAGATGGCCAAGAGGCGGTCGTCCTCGTGCGGGGACCACCATCCCAATCTACTCTAGGTCCCAATCTACTCTACTCTGTTTTGTTGATCTTTTATTATCACATAATAACATCTACATCATTATGATATTATGATTAGAAACAACAGGTTGGGTGCCAATCATCTGGACCTTTACCGGATGCCTTCCCCTTCCCCCCCCCCCCCAAAAAAAATAAAAAATAAAATCGGATGCCAAATTCAACGTATGCCTCTACGCTAATTGTCAGCGCACTGCTCATCAACACGTGTCCAAATCCAAATGAAGCTTGAAAAACGCATACGGAAGTGCATTTACCCATGAACATTCAGCAGGACTGATGTTTTCTCTGTTCTTTTCTTTCCTGGTACGTAAGAGATTCGTCTAAGATTTTTTTTTTTTTATTTTTTTTATTTTTTTTTTTTTACAAAAAATCAGCAACATTGATTCCTCTTATCAAATGTGGAGAGTGGTTTTGGAAATCCGAATCTCAGTACCCTCCCAAGGGATTTTTGAGACCCATTTTAAAAAGTGGACAGTAGTGGAGCTGGACCCTCTTTTTTTTTAATTTCCTCCTTGTACTTCTTCTCTTTTTTCTTTAAAAAAAAAAAAAAAGGTCAGATAGATTTTGGCGACCAACTGGTCGGGACAAGTCTTGGGGAGGCCCACCTCTCACATATGAAAGGGGGGTGTGTCACCACCACCCATCATTTCATAAATCGAGACCCCTTTTTGTTTTAGACAGCTCCCTGTTTCTTGTCTTTTCCTCTTTTTCTGCGTATAGTTCACTGGGCAGTTCCCTGTGACTATATACTCGTAAATGTATACAGTCTTAAACCTAATGATAGGGGGAGGTCATGTGTTCAAAATGACTATATACATGTACATATGTATACAGTCCTCAACCTAATGATAGGGGAAGGTCATGGGTTCAAAATGACTGTATATACATGTATAGTCCTAAACCTAATGATAGGGGGAGGTCATGGGTTCAAAACTTGATATCACCCCTCCGCAAGTGTGCCTCAGGACATCGCAGCCCTTAAAGTTGGACTGATATGGCCACAGACGGCTGAAGAGGGATAATTGTGCAATTGTCACACACGTTCCCTGACTTTGAGGATCTCTAAAGCCGAAACCGGGCAACACCCTGAGTGGAGCGGGGGCTAGGTCCCACTTGCACGAATTAAGAGATACTGACCGTAGATAGCAAAGATCAACGGCCCAAATCTCCTAATTTGCGCAAGTGGGACCTTGCCCCGGG